TGGTGGTTCTTCTCCCTCGATAATCCGTCCTCGAGGTGTCACTTTGATAACAGCTAACCAGTTTATTCCCGTTGTAGTAATCCGAGGGTATGGAATGAAGCAAACTTGATCTGCTTGGGAAGCTAGTATGAAAGGCTCGAATTTGTTGTACCTGCAAAAATTAAGACAACGGAGAAATTATTATTTCTTAGAAGATGCAGGTACATATGTCAAAAAAGAATTTGTTGTACCTTCGTCCACCATCAACTACACCGTTCTTGTTAATCCGAACACCTCTGTTGACGACGGGGTCGTACCACTCACACTTGAAGATAACGCATTTCAAACTCATACCTGAGAATTGAACTTAATCTCCTGCAAGATCCCGTAGAAATCTGTTTCGCCTTTCACACATATTCCATAATTACTTGTCGCCCGGTGTCTACCATAGTCATAGGTATGAAAAGTATAGCCTCGGGTCAAATACATCGATGATGTAGTGACCTTTGCAACTGGACCTTGGAGTAATTCGCGGAACCATGCGGGATACTGAGGATCGTCATAATCAACCTGCAACAAAAAGTAATATAGCTAGACATATTAGACTTAATTTGTGGTAATGCATGCATAGAATTTAAGTAATAATAAATACTTGTTTCCTCAACCACTTGATAAAGTGTTGATCTTTCCTTTTGTCTAACTCAGGTGTCGATATACCAGGTATTGCTTCCTCGACTTGAGTCACAAATTTGCTGTAAAATCATATATATATATGTTATGTTATATATATATATTTAATATTGAAATATATATATATATATATATATATATATATATATAACTATGTATGTTTATAAATTTACCTTTCAAAATAAGCAATCAATGGATGCTCGCAATTAAGAAGAATATAAAGGTGTGCACTATGGACGTCTTCATCACTCGACCACCAAATCTCTTTCAATTTTCCACCCAATCGCCCAATTTGACAAAAGATGTCTGGAACANCGCAATTAAGAAGAATATAAAGGTGTGCACTATGGACGTCTTCATCACTCGACCACCAAATCTCTTTCAATTTTCCACCCAATCGCCCAATTTGACAAAAGATGTCTGGAACATCGTCCTCCATATATGTTGGCACGACACCACCATCATCATATCTTCTCGGAGCTCGCTTCCTTGTACGTACTTTCGGTGCAAAGTAATAGGAAGTGAAATGTGATGTTTCTTCCGTCAAACTTCCTGCAACAATAGAACCTTCAACTCTTGCTAGGTTTTTCGCTTTTCCTTTCAAAATTTTCATGGCCCTTTCATACTGATACATCCATCCATAATGCACGGGTCCACGAAGTAATGCCTCATACGGGAGGTGGACAACTAGGTGTTCCATGACGTCGAAAAAGGTTGGCGGAAATATTTTCTCCAAGTTGCAGATTTAGACGGGGATGTTTTCATGAAGTTGTTGGACAACTTCGACTTTAAGAGTGCGGGTGCTCAGATCCCTAAAAATGCTCCAATTCCTATATATTTACAAAAACAAACATTATCACATTAGTATATATATATATGTATAATCATATCATCGTATTAAATTAATTAATTACCTGAAAGTGCTTCATGTACTTTTGCCGGTAGTAACTCCGCAAACGCAAAGGGAAGTAGTCGCTGCATGAAGACATGACAATCATGGCTCTTCATCCCGGAGAACTTTTGCCCTTTCTCAACACATCTTGAGAGATTTGAAACATACCCATCAGGAAACTTCACTTCTGAAGCCACCCAGTTGAACAACGCAGACTTTTTTTCTGATGACAGTCTGAATATTGGAACTGGAACT